CTATAATAGCTTGCAAGTCCTAGGAATGATCGTATTTCCGTAGTATTGGTGGGTGTTTTCCATTCCTTTATAGATTTGATTTTTCTATCATCAACAACTATTCCATCAGCGGATATTACATATTCTAAGTATTCAACTTGTTTTTGAAATAATTTACATTTTTTCCATTTTGCATACAATTTGTTTTTTCTAAAGGTTTTTAGTACTTTTTGTAAATGTTGTAAGTGTTCATTTTTACTTTTACTATATATCAAAATATCGTCAAGGTATATAATTACAAATTGGTCAAGTTCATTTCGAAATATGTTATTTATTAAGGCCATGAAGGTAGCCGGTGTATTGGTTAATCCAAAGGGCATTACTAAGAATTCGAAGTGGCCGTATCGAGTGCAAAATGCAGTTTCGGATACATCGCTTTCCTTAATTCAGATTTGGTAGTATCCAGAGTAAAGGTCAATTTTCGAAAAGTATTTTGCTCCTTGTAACCTATCAATTAATTCCTCAATTCTTGGTAGAGGGTATCGATTTTTGATGGTAATTTTATTCAATGCATGATAGTCAACACATAATCGGAGTATTCCTTCTTTCTTGTGGATAAACAAGACTGGTGCACCATATGGCGAGACACTAGAGCGAATAAATCCTTTGTTGGTTAAGTCAGTTAATTGTTTCTTTAGTTCATTTAATTCTTTATAAGACATTCAGTAAATTCCTCTAAATGGAGGTTCGCTTTCTGGTATAAGATCAATAGCGTGATCGATTTGTCGTTTAGAGGGTAAGTGGTTTGGTAACTCTGTTGGAAAAATATCTTTAAATTTCTTAAGAATTTCTTTAGTTTCTGAATTGTTTTTACTTTGTACAGTGTTAACTTCTTCAGATACAAAAATAGCAAATAATTCTTTATTCTTATTACTGTTAGCAAGTTGTTGTCGAGAAATATAAATAGTATTAACACTATTACTTTCATTATTCCTTGCACCTTTATTACTTTTGTACCATAATTAAAAGTAAGTTCATTAGTTCTCCAATCTATTTGAGGATTGGCAAAAGCTAACTAAGATTTTTTCAAAATTACATTATCTCATTGTAATTTCATAATCTAAGCTTTAATTCTTGTAGCTCTATATTGGTTTAATTCTAATTTACTCATAGTAACTGTTTGTTCAATAGATTCTTTGTTACCATTAGCTAATTCTACTGCAATTTTTTTATCGTTGTTAATCTGGAGTTGATTCTTGTAGGCAAAGTCTCTATCAATAAAGTTTTTCGTTACACCACTATTGATTAATATCTGAGCAGGGTGTCCATTAATTTTTCCTTTGATTCTAATTAATCTTTCCCTATGGCTAACATGATTTAATTCTATGTTATTATTACTTTCAGGGTTATTAGATTCCTCTTCAATTTGTCTAAAACTATTATTATGATTATTAAAACTTTTATTCTTGTTTCGTAAGGAACAATTCTTAGATATGTGTCCTAATTTTCCACATTTAAAACATTTAACTTCTCTAATATCTCTATTACTATTGTTACCATTATTATTATAATTGTTATTATTACTATTACTACCATTGTTGTGATTTTTATGATGATTATGTTTGTTCTTTTGATAATTTGTTTTAATAAATCCTAAATTCATAGGTTCAGGTCCTCTGGCATTATTGTATCTATTTCTATTACCACTATTATTATTATAATTATTAGAACCATTATTATTTCCTCCACTATATCGCGAAGGGTTATACCTGCCACCCAAATTCAAAATCCAAATGCCGAAATCCCAAATGCTGAAATCCCAAATTCCAAATCCCAAATTATGATTAGTATTTTTTGCCAAAATCCCAAATCCCAAATCTCAAATACTAGTAATTTGGGATTTTGGCGTCCCAAATTTCAAATGATTTGGGATTTGGGCAACACGTATACGAAGGGTGATAATTATTCCCCTTTATTCATCCCATACATGGCATTATCATATTGAGTTGCCATATCTATGGCATCATTTAAGGTTTGAGGAACTTTATACCTTAGCTCTGTTTTCGTAGTATGTTTTAATCTATCAACAAAATATCCAACTTGATCAAGATTATGCATGTCTTCAATCTGTCCCACTATATTTCTAAATTGCATTGTATAGTCGCGAACAGAACCAGTTTGTCTTATTCTCTTTAATTGTTCGCGTAAATGTTGTTGGTAGTGAGTGAGTTAAAATGAAGTTCGTACGTCTGCTTTGAAGGCATTCCAATTGGCCCATTGACCAATGTCAGCGTTTGCAGTTAATTTATTCATCAACCATGCTTGGGCTGCTTCCTTAAATCCCATCCCAGCATATCTAATCTTCGGATCAAGTTCAGTAATAGCTCAGGCTGCAAAAATATTATCAAGCGCTAAAAACTAAGAATTTACATTCTCATTAGGACGACCGTGGAAACTAGATATAGTTATGGGTAGGTTGGCTCCTGTATTATTATTATTCTGGCTTTGTAGACATGTGGATAAGGTATTCAAAGAGGTAAGTAGTCGAGTTGTAGAATGTGGAGTTAGGTCCTCAGATCTCTCGGTCACTTGCTGCAGCTCCTAGTGATACGATAATTGAGGTTGAGTTGGAGATGTGATTTCTCTAGCAGTTACTTCAGGGAAATTATAAGTAGTATTAGACTCTTCTTCCTCGTTATTTCCAACGTCAGGAAAAGTTTCTTGGGTAGATGTAATGTCAGGTGGAGGTATAGTAGTAGATGCAAAATCGAACGATGCTAATCTAGCTTGGGTTTCTTGAAGACGGCGTTGAACAAGCTCTTCAAGGACTTGAGTTCGAAGTTGGTTATATTTGTCTTCTAGTATACGAGTAGTGTCAAGATGTTAGCAATATTCTTGAAATCGTAGAGGATTCCGGTCTCCGTTTAATGAAGCTTCGCGAAGGTAATGGACGTAGCGTTCTCATTGTAAATGCTCTTTTCTTTCGTTAAAAAGTTGTTCAAGCTCAGAGTCTTCTTCAGAGGTACTGGAAGAGTTGTTATTGTTAGGATTGTCTTCTGGGTTATTATTAAATAGGGATTGAAGTGTACGTCGAAACATAGACTATAAAAAAAAAAATAAATAAAAGGATGTGCGCGAATTTCTGCACCACAACGGAGGATAAATCGTTTAACAATTTTTCGCTACTACCAAGTGTAAGAGTTTTGGTTAACTCTTAGTGGTAGGGTAAAGTATAAGGTAAGGTGAGTGAGTATTCGAACAATAATAAACACACGTCAATGACGTAAGGTAAAACACTTGAAAAATACAAGCAAAGAATAACACTCTAAAAGAGCAAATTAATAGTATATTAAATTAATTATCAGTTCGAAGGGACTGACTCTATCTTTATTAAAATCTTAGTCTTTTTATATTTTACAAATAAATAAAAATATATAATATTATTTAATAATAAATAAAAAGAATCTTAGATCATAAGATCTCTTATAGATCCGAATTGGCATAATTTACATATTTAGAAATAAATAAATTAAGTTAAAAAGATAGACCAATAAGGTTATACTAAGTCTCCCATTAATATAATATAATATAATAAATAATCCACTAATATAAATAATAATAAATCTCAATGATATTTCAATATAAATATCATCAAACAAAATATAAATAAAATATAAATAAAATAAAAAAAAATAAAATAAAATAGTATACATCGTGAATGCACAAAAATAAAAATTGGTCCGCAGTAATTTACGAGGAGGGTCGATGAAACATTACATGCCATGAGGCGATAATTTAAGACCTATATCTCCAGTTGAATCAACCCAAACTAGATTACCTCCACCAGGCAGCAACCTTCAAAGTTCAAATTATACTTGCATGCAAAATTATTTTGGGATCCCGAAATTGCAATTTTGGGGAAAAAAGTCGAAATAGTTTTTCATAGAAGACGAAATTATTTTACTTAAAACCCAAAATTTTTTGACCACCCAGATTTATTCTTTGATTAAAGATACATATAACTAAGTACTTTTTTTACTTCCATATATAGAATAGATTTTACATAAATCTCAAAAAGTCGAAATACCTCAAAAATCCAAAAT